TACTTCTTGAAATGGTTGAACATTAACCATTTCCTTTCGGTACAGTGACTCTGAGTATTCCTTCCATCTTCTCTTGATGCTTTCTTGCAGTTCATGGTACTTTCAATATTCTTCTCCAACACCATAATTAAAATGCATCAATTCTTCTTCTGTCATTTTTATTCATTGCCCAGCTTTCACATGCATATAAGGTTACTGAAAATACCATGGTCAGGAGAACTTCAATCTTTTCTCCATTTATCATGATGTTGCTTATTGGTTCAGTTGTAAGGATTTGTACTTTCTTTACATTGAGTTATAATCCTTACTGAAGGCTGTATTCTTTGATCATCACCAACAAGTGCTTCAAGTTCACTTTCAGCAAGCAAGGCTGTATCATCTACATATCGCAGGTTATTCCCAAGTCTTCCTCCCAATCCTGATGATATGTTTTTTTTTCATACAGTTCAGTTTTTTGGGTTATTTGCTCAACATATAGATTGAATAAGTATGGTGAAAGGATACAACACTGACACACATTTTCTGGTGTTAAACCATACCGTATCTCCTTGTAGACTGTAGAATAATTGATATATTTGTTTTATGGTTTTGGAGAAGAAGATTAAAAGTACAATGGACTGCTAGAAGAATAAATCCATGTTGGAAGAAGTACAACCAGAATGTTCCTTACAAACCAAGTTGGCCAAACTTTGTATTTCATACTTTGGACATATTACCAGGAGGGACCAGTTCCTGGAGGAGGACATCATACTTGATAAAATAGAGGGTCAGCAAAAAAGAGGGAGACCCCCAATGAGATGGATTGGCACAGTGGCAGCAGCAATAGGTTCGAGTGTAGAAAAGATTGTGAGGTTGATATCAGACTGGGCTGTGTTTCTGCAGTGCATAGGATCACTATGAGTCAAAACCAACTCAACGGCACCTAACAACAACTACATTCCCTTGTTCTGTTTGTATGAGTACTTCTTGTTCTATGTACAGGTTCTACATGAGCACAATTAAACGTTCTGGAATTACCATTCTTCACAATGCTATCCATAGTTTGTTATGATTCACACAGTCAAATGCCTTAGCATAGTCAGTAAAACACAAGTAAATATGTTTCTCGTATTCTCTGCTTTTAGTCAAGATCCTTCTGATGTTACTCATTCCATGTTGTTTTCTGAATCCATAAAGTTAGCTGTCAGTGTATTGATACAACTGTTTTTAAAAGTATTTTCAGCAAAGTTTTATTTGTATGTGATATTAATGATATTGTTCAATAATTTCCACATTCAGTTGGAACACCTTTCTTTGGAATGGGCACAATATGGATCTCTTCCATTTGATTGTTCAGGTAACTGTCTTCCAAACTTCCTGGCATAGACTAGTGAGTATTTCCAGTGCTGCATTAGTCTGTTGAAAAATTTCTCCAATTGGTGTTTCATCAATTCCTGTTGTTGTTAAGTGTCGTCAGGTCATTTCTGACAAATAGTGTATATGGTTTCTGAGGAGCGGCTGGTGGGTTTGAATCTGACCTTGTGGTTAGCAGTCCAGTGATTATCCTACCACGCCACACCAGCACATCAAATCATAGAACCTTGTTTTTTGCTAATGCCTTTAGTACAGTTTGCATGTTTTCCTTCAGTACCATCAATTCTTGATCTCCTGAAATGGTTCAAGGTTGACCATTTTGGTACAGTGACGGTGTATTTTTTTCATCTTCTTTTGATGCTTTTTGCATCATTCAGTATTTTGCCCAAATAATTCTTCAATACGGCGAGTTGAAACTTGCAATTTTTTTCAGTTCTTTCAGCTTGAGAAATGCTGAGCATATTCTTGTCCTGCAGGTTTGATCAATGGAAGGTCCCAAACAGAGATAGAGAGCAGAGGCTGTGTCCCTTTATCAAAAGCCACCATCCTATTGCGGAACCCTCTCTGAATAAGCTTTTCAGCCTTCCCATAATAGTTTTCCATCCTTAGCCCTTCATCTCCTATTTTTGCTAGTTCTGAGGGTGTTTCTTCAACAACCCTATTGGTTTTCCTTCATCTCCCCATTTTGTAAAGAGTCCTTATATTCAGACATCTTCAGTCTTCTTTTCCACGGATGCTATCAGTCTCCCTCCAGGACTCCAACCTACACAAATAGTTTATAATATTTGCTTGATTGCTTTTAAAAATGAGTTGTAGCCATTAAACATATTTTTACCGTTCCTTAATTCACTTAACAAATATTTTTTGAGCACTAATGTTGAATGGATGTTGAATGGAGGAATCCTGGTGTGGTGCTGTGGCTAATGTGTCAGACTGCAAAGTTGTTTGAACTGCAAGGCCAGTGGTTCAAGCTCACCAGCTGCTCCTTGGAAACTCTATACAGAGTCACTATGGGTTGGAATCGACTCGACGGTGCTTAACAACAACAACAACAACAATGTTGAATGGAGTCCTGGTATGGTGCTGTAGGATCAGCACTGTACTGTGAATCACAAGGTTGGCAGTTCAAACCTACCAGCGGCTCCTTGGAAACCCTATATAGCGTTGCTATGAGTGAAAATCAACTCGATGGCACTTAGCAACATCTGAGTGGGACTAAAGGTATAACCACCTTAGAGTGGGTTGTCTGGGAAGTATTTATTTGGCTATTATGGGAGTTTATGAAAGAGTTACTTGTGACCCATTTTAGGATACGTGTATCCCTGGTAGTACTGTAAGATAGATACTGGACTGCTAACCACAAAGCCACCAGTTCAAAGCCACCAATCACTCCACTGGAGAAAGATGAGGCTCTCTGCTCCTGTAGTTTTATAGCCTCAGAAACTATACAGAGTCATTATGGTGGCAGTGAGAGTTATATGCCTGTTAGGAATTTGAGAATCCCTGGTGATGCATGGGGTAAAGCACTCAGTTGCTAACCAAAATATGGTTTGAACTTACCAGCTACTCCTTGGGAGAAAAATGTAACAAGTCTTCTTCCATAATGATTGTTTCTGTTGTTAAGTGCCATCATGTTGGTCCCAACTCATAGCAACTCTGTATAGGGTTTCCAAGGAGCAGCTGGTGGATTTGAACCATCGAACTTGAGGCTCAAATGGACCTTATAATCCAGTGCCTTACCCTGCAGCACCACACCATCCTATGGGGGCAGTTCTACTCTGTCCTATGTGGTCACTACTAAGTTGACTTGATGAAAATTGGTTTGGTTTTTGGTTTGGTAGGATTTGGGGAAGAAGGAAACTTGGCCTGACTTCATTTTCTCTCTCTCTTTCTGCCAAGACTGTCAGGGTCACTGGGGCAAATGAATTTCATTCTTTTCTCTGGACTTCAAGTTGTGCTCTAAATTTGCAACAAAGTCTTAGTGTAGGTTAAATGTGGTACGTTGTCACTAGTTGTCGTCCAGTTGATTCAAACTCATGGAAGCCCTTTGTGTGTCAGAGTAGAACAGTGTTTCATAGTATTGGAAGCAGACTGTGACGTTCTGTCTTCTGAGGTATCCCTGACTTCCAACCTTTTGCCTGATAGTCTAGCACATAGCTGTTTGCACCACCCTGGAATTCTTACATGTCGTGCATTTGGGACCATTTTTTTTGCCAAATTGTGTTTCCCTTACAGAATTAAACCATCAACTCAATAAAAGTTGGGAGTTCTTTCCCCCCTCTTTTCCATGTATTATAGTCTCAGCTTTATTAAGTAAAAGCCCTTACTAGGTCAGGAACAATGTCTTGCCATTTCTGCTACCTGCACCATTTCTGACACATTATAAATGATGAGAGAATTGAACTGCTAAAAGGGATCTTTTTGCTTGGTGTAACGCTATGAGTCGGTTCCGACTCGATGGCACCTGACAACAACAACAACAATCTCAACCTAGACTGCATTTCTTAATTTGAGTGTGCAGAGGTCTCTCTCGGCCACCAAGTGGCGCTAAGCCACCATCTATGACGAATCCACTAAGTTTCTCACAGGATTTGAAGTTTTGAACTTTTTGTTAAGTGTCAGAAAGGTTAATTCACACTTTAGGAGAATGCTCCCAAGGCACCCAGATGGTACTCCCGCGGGGTGTCGGCAGCAAAAGGCCTGAAGAATTGCCCTGCACACCTCACACCTCTGGAGTAGCCTCAGGGACACGACTAATAGACTGAGGTGTGCACGTGGGAGCGGATGCAGCCACGTGCCTGGGCAAGTGAGGGTAGAGATGTGGGGTGCCCACTGGGTCCCAGGTATCAGTGGGCAGCCCCAAGGAGCTCGCTCCCTTCCTGCCTCCGCCCCTTGCCTTGCTGGGCCAGCTGGGCCGCTCCTCCCCTGGGTGGGTCCCGGCTCCTTTTCTAGCAGGGTCTATTTGCATAGAGGAAACTGCCCAAAGTGGCCGCTGCTGTGGAGCTGGCGGCGGATAAAGGGGTGTGCGCTGTGTTTAGCAGCTGCCCGGAGGCTGAACCCGGCGCCCGCCCGCTCTTGTACCTCAAACTCTCACGCCCGCTCCCCGCGCGCCCAGCCCGCACTCTCATCTCCACACCACCCCCTGGGAAAGCCCACGCGCCACAAGGAGCGTGCCATGGACTCCGGAGAGCTTAGTGGCGAAGCGCAGGAGAGCTGCGGCTCGAAGGGCAGCGGCGGGAGGGGATGCCCCACGCCGGTGACTGGGGCCCGAGTGGTGAGCGCACTGTGCCTGTTGCTTTCCCTGGGCTCAGCGACCGCCTGCCTACTGCTGGGTACCCAGGCTGCTGCCCTGCAGGGCAGGGTGGCAGTACTCGAGGAGGAGCGGGAGCTGCTGCGGCACGTAGGTCCACCCGGAGTCCTGGCTGCCTGGGCCGAGCCGCACCTGGAGCGCCTGCTGCGCGAGGTGAGGCGCCCTGGGGCAGGGCCGTGGACTGGTCTGGTTAGAGGCCTCTGTGCCCAGTGCGTTGTGTGTCGGGCTGTAGAGTAGAATGAAGCCGGGGTGTAGTGTGTCAGTCTTCCTGAGGAAGAGAGAGTTCTTTCGAGGGGGGTGGGGGCTGTGAGCTGGGGATGGTGGTGGTAAGGGGGCGGGTGTGTGTGAGCTGAGGTTGGGGTGGTAGTCTAGTCTCCAAGGGGGTCCTGTGTTTCTCTGCTCCCGCTGCCCCAGGCAACTTCTGGGTTTCTGGGCAGGGATAGTGAGGTGGGTCCGTCTCAGGCCCACCTCAGTGTTCTGTTCTTGGGTGGGCGGCCACGTGAAAAGAGAGTAAGAAGGGTTGTTTGGGGACTATCAGGAGGAGGGAGTGGAAAGACCAAGTGCTTTGGAATAACAGGCCTGGGGGCGTGTTTCCACTGGGGTATGCTCTCAGCCAAGCCTTTCCTGACCCTGGGAGCGCCTGTCTCCTCTTCTCCTGCTGGAGTGTGGTGACTCCTCTCACCAGCAGCAGCTACTCTTCCCAACACTGATCTACTAGAAGTGTAGGCCCAAGTGGGCCAGCGCCCTGTGGAAGGAAACTGAAAACAGTACTGAAGCCCAGGCCCTGAGAGGGTTCCGGTCAGCATGTTGTTGTTGATAAACGACTCATAGCGACCCTGTACAGTGTTTCCAAGGAGCGGTTAGTGTTCTGAACTGCTGATTTTGAGATTAGCAGTCCAGTGCTAATCCAACAGCGCCACACCAGGACTCCCAACTCCCTGCAATATTAACTCTACTCCCCAACCCCAGCTCCACCCACCCAATGCCCAATGAAAGTTAGCTTCGGAGCTGCCCATCCTGGAGATGCTAGCTCCAAGTTTTGAGACTGAGCCACACCTCGTGCAGTGGATCTCTGAGGAAATGGCCTCATTAAGTTGGTAGGGTGAAAAGAAGGAAAAACCCTTGGAGACAGAAAACCTGGAGTCTGGTTTCAGGTGGACTGATCAATGTGGACAGTAAATCCTGCCTTTCCTCATCCTGTATGTGGGAATCATGATTTTTACAGCAAGCCTTCTGGAAGTATTAGATGAGACTTTGCCACTTCTGAGAGTTACGATTGCTGTTGTGTATCTGCAAAGTAGATCGTGTGTTTGGGCTCTCAGAACCCTCATCCTGTAGATCAAAACCTCCACCTTTTGTGCCGCTGTCTCCCTCTGTATAGAACTGGGTGAGCACAGTGAGCTGGAACTGGTGCTGCTCTCAGCAAAGCTTCTCCTAACCATATTGTCCACCCTTGCCTGTGCCATTTTCCTCTTCCTGGAGAAGGTGGCTTCCCAAGACCCCAAGCCATTGCTTTCTTGGGCATCTTTAATTGTAGTATGAAAAGAGACAGTATTTTAAAGCAAAGGAGAGGGAGTACCTCTTACCATGAATTGCCTAAACTGTGCTGAGCTGTGTTCTTTGTTAATTTGTTGAGCTCTGTAACCTTTGGTTAGGTTATTTGGAATCTTAGGGGTGGAGAGGTCAGGGGCAGGCAGAGTAGAAAAAGACAGTGCACCATACCTCCTTGCTCACCACTCCTATTTTTTAGACACTGAAAGCCCTAGTCCTTGGGTGGAGCAGTCAGTTAAGATGCTCAGCTGCTAACTGAGCCACCATGGAAGGAAGACCTGATATTCTACTTCTGAGAAATTAGTCACTGAAAACTCAATGGAGCACAGTTGCACTTTGACACACATGGGATCAGCAGCAACTGGGTTTTAACTTTAAGCCAACATTACATCTCTTCTAACTTCTAGGAAAAAATGCTACTTCATGAAATGATTTCCTATTTCCCTCCTTGAAATTGTCTGCAGAGTTCAGAAATCTCTCCCAAGCTCTGCTGGCAACCCTTGGTGATGGTTTCATAATTGCCTCCCATTATCTTTTGGCAAATCCCTAAAGACCAGGGTGTTGAATTGATTTATGGAGGGACAGTAAAGTTTCTACCTGTCAGTGCTAGAACTGTGGCTGTTCTTTTCTACTAGGAGGCTCTTCTTATTAGTAGTAAAAATAAACCACAGCCCTGATTGAGTAAATGAGAAATCCCAGTAAAACCTTTTACAAGGAGCTTACAAATTATGTCAGTTTTAATAAGGAAGGGTCCTGGGAAAGCAGCCATGAGTGTGAACCATTGATGCTCAAGTCCTGAACTGCAGCCTGGAAAGAGTTTCAGTTGCTTTATCACACTTCCTCCTGTAATTCTGAATTTTACTAAAGCAAACTATAGTGCTTCAACTGGACAAAATTAGTTTCTCTCTCCCTCTCCATTTCTTCCTCTCTCTCTTTCACCCTCTCTCTCCCCCAAGCTCTTTATTAGAAAGGCAAAGGGAAAATTTATAATCCTGGAGAAGTTGCTATACCATTCAGCAGAGCCTGTTAGCCCAAGACACAACATACTACTACCACTGTGTTGTTGTTAAGTGCCATCAAGCCAGTTCTGACTTATAGAGACCCTGTATAGGCTTGCCAAGCAGCAGCTGGTGGGTTAGAATTGCCTACCTGGTGGTTGGTAGTCAAGTGTTTATCCTAAATGTAGTCAGAGCTCAGTAGTTTTTTATAAGTTTTTATTATGAATTGAGTGATAGTTTACATGGGAGAACATCAGCTTTACATTCATCCTATCGTATTTCGTTTCATTGCAATGATTACAATCCCCTCCATACATCATCAAACAACCAAAGGGTACACCCTGCAAGCCTGCACGCCCCCTGCCATCAGTACACAGCCCCTCTCCCTCCCTGAGTCCCCAGCCCCTCCATCTCTCCAGGTCATCATCATCTTTATCTCCATCTTTGGTGTCACTGCCTCTCTGGATAGGGTCTCACACACACTCTGTTCTTCATCCTTGATGGTCCCAAGGTCCTCATCTCCTGAACTACAAAATCAACCACTCCCCTCCTTTTGTTACAAAACATCTACCTTTACATTTCAAACACTCACAGTCAGTCCTGATAGCAATTATTCACTATTGAACCACAAGAGTCTTATTCACATCTCTTTCCATCAGTCCTATTCAGACTGGTTGGAAATCTCAGTGGAGATTCTACCTTCCCCTGCACCCTCTGAAACTAGGCTCCCTCTTGAAAGCTTGTAAACCAGTCACTTCTTGCCTTTGTAGCCCCCCCCATTTTGGGTATCCACTGTCTAAGTTGCCTATGCCTATCAATCCTGTGTACTGAGGAAGTGGAATGATCCTCGATGTAAAGATTCGTTCCCTCTTTTGAGCTACTACAGCCATGAGTATAGGTCAAGTTCATCAAACTGTAGCAAATTACTCTTTTTTCACTCTTCTTTTTTCCTAGTGTTTGAGAAGTATGTTCATCTTGGAGTTTAAACTCCTCTCTGGTTTTCCCCATCAGTGGAAAGTCAAAGATGACACAGTATGAATATTCTTGGGGTTGAGCTTCTGGTTGCTGGATGTTCCTGCTGAGGATGCAATGCCTCTCCCAGAGCAGCAGTTGGTTCTTGTCACTAGTTTTTCTAGTTTTCTCCTAAGATGGAAAATGGACCAGCGTAGTGGATGACACTGAGAATCCTTGGTCAAGTGAGGGGATATAAACTGACTGCCATAGAGTTGATTTCAACTCAGAGTGACCCTGAACTGACTCAACTGTTAACAACAACATAGTTGAACTGCTCCTTGCGGTTTCTGAAATTGTAAATCTTTATGGGAGCAGACAGCCTCATCTTTCCATTAGAGCAGTTGGTGGGTTTGAACTACCAACCTTTGGTTAGCAGCCCAATGCCTAATCCACAGTGCCTCCATCCTTTAAACAGATATATAGATATTTTTGAGTTATTAAATATGAAGGACCAGTAAATATTGATCTGAAAATGTTTAACGGAAACAATAGGTTTTTCACTTCTGTTTTCAGTGAAGATTTTTTTAAGCCAGTACTGAAGGAGTTGTATATATGAGAGGATCAGTTTGTCTTTTTAACCAACAAACTTCTTGTCAGAATATCAGAGGCAGAAAGCATGTCCAAATTAAAGAAAAGAAATTCTTACCAACCACACACAAGTTTCATTTCAGAGAATTTTTTTTTTTTTGTAAAAAACAAGCCAACAAAACCCACTATTAATCTGGGACCCACTCTTTGTTCCCTTGGGAAAAGAACTGAAATAGCTCTTTCTGGGACTGGCTGATGTCCCTGATAGTGTAGCTATTAAAGCTACAAAGAAAAATATCCATTCATGTTATGATTATTAGAGACCCTTTCCAGGATACAAAATAGAAATTCTAGTTTTCAGAATATAAAAGCACAATTTTATAAACATGAGTCATTACAACGGTACCTTCAATATGTTTCAGAAACAAGCATTTGGTGTTTTGCCTTTATAGGTTACCTAAGTCACCAACCCACCCCACCCTCAAGTATTTATATCTATAGTTAACAGTGTATGAAAGCTTAAATGTAGAGTGCATAACTTTTGTACTATAGTAGAAAATTTATTGCAAGGATTAAAGAAATATTTAGTTGTATTCAGAGGAGACCATTTCTAGCTTACAATGAATTTGTTGTGGGCAGTTGGACTCCCTTTATCCAGACCAATCAGTTTGAAAACAAGAAAAGTTCAGAGACTGGATAAAATCCAAACATTATCTTTCCCAACCATCACATATATCCATATGTATAAATATCATATATCATATATGTTACAGTAAAACCCAGGATCAAATGTAGCTTTTTAAGCCCCTAAGGAGTCCTGATGTGGCACTATGGGCTAGTGCACCAGACTGCAAAGCCATTTGAACTGCAAGGTAAGCAGTTCAAGCTCACCAGCGGCTCCTCGGAAACCCTATACAAGGTCGCTATGGGTTGGAATCGACTCGACGGAACTTCACAACATAGCACAGCAAGACAGTCTGTCGCTTGTCATGAATGCTCTATTGTGTACTTTTTAATAAAGATACCTATTTCTAAATCCCATGGCACAACTGGAGATGGAGT